CCATGTTAGGGGCCCATGGGTTCAAGGCAGAAGGATGCAGAAGGGGTACGGCTCATGAAGTTGCAGGATGAGGTTTGGGTCTTACCAATACTTACCCATAGATCATAGGCTCCATTGTAGTTCCTTTTTGTTGTGTGTGTATATATATATATATATGTATGTTTGTAGGAGCCTAAAAAGGCGGCAAAAACACACACATATATATATATATATATATATTTATTGATTTAATTAGGAGCCTAAGAGGCGGCAATCCCCAAAAGGAACTGCAATGGAGCCTATGGTAGGGCAATAGAGACAGTGGATGTGACCTTTCCGCAGACCCCGGATCGGTTGTCCAGTAGGGGTTAGGGTTTAGGGGGTTTGGGGTTTAGGGGGTTTAGGGTTTAGGGTTTAGGGTTTAGGGGGATCTCTATGACACGGGAGCGATCGCGGACCCTTACTCTTACTGCAGGGGCCTTCAGAATGGAACAGAGTTTTGGGGCCTGCCAGAGCAAGAGTCGACTCAGGAGCCCCGGTGAATAATATGGGAGCTTCAAAAAATTAGGGGTACCTTTTTGGGGTCCTTATAATCGGGATCCTATTATTTAGGGTACTATATTAGGGTCCCCTATTTTCGGAAACCCCCATATGAATAACTATGCAGGCTACTCCAGGACCCCCCAAGGGCCCTTTAATAGAGCCATTATGGTCCTTAATTCCTTAATTGTGGGTATTTGGGGAAAATTAGAGGGTAGTTGGGGGGTCTAGGCTATTTTAAAGGTTTAGGGGTTTAGGGTTTAGGGTTTAGGGACCAGAGGAGTAGTCGGCTCAACCCGTATCCTAAGTGGAACTATCCCAGCATCGGGGCCACTGCGGAAACCTGGAAACGTCAACAAAAATCTCTTTCTCTTAAGTGCGCAAGTGGTCTGTGCGAGTGTCCTCCTCCAAACATCAGCGTCCGTTCTCTTTCTGCATCAACTTTTGCGCTGGCAACATTCATGCTCTTGAAGGCACAGTTAGACTGTTTGTTAGACAAAGGAAATGCAAGAAGAACGACCCTAAACCCTAAACCCAAAACCCTAAACCCAAAACCCTAAACCCTAAACCTGGAATCAACTTGTAGGAGAGTCTTGATCTGGACCCTTTATACTGAACACCAAGCAACCCTACACGAAGCTAGATCCTAAACCCTGAAACACATTCCGGAATGCTAAATTGGCTTGCTGCAGCATTACAGTATCTTCTGCAGAAGTGCATTTTCGAAGAACATTCGCAGGCCCTATATCCCTGAACCCTTAAGCCTAAACCCTAAAACCTAAGCCCAAAGCCCTAAACCCCCAAACCCTAAGCCCTAAACCCTAAGCCCTAAACGAGCACCACCCAAGCAGCATCGGGAAGTCAGAAAATCTAGGAAACCCTGAGCGCGATCCCCTGAATCCCTGATCTTTCCTGGCCTGTGCCTGTAAACTTTGGGGTTTAGGGCTTAGGGTTTAGGGTTTAGGGTTTAGGGTTTAGGGAGCTTTGCTCCCCATAAGCTGAGCTCTTTGGGTTTAGGTTTGCATTCTAGGGTTTAGGGTCTAGGGGTGTTTAGGGTTTATAGGGTTTAGGGCTTGCGGGCGACCTAGGCCACGCACCTGAACCTCATATACTCCACGGCTAGCAGTCATTCTTACAGCCTCAGGCGGAGTGCATATCCCAATCTAAACCTTACAGTCTACAGCAGACAGACAAAAGATTCTTTAGGGCTGACGTAGCAGGCTATCGATCCCTTTGCTTTGGATGCTTTGAGATTTTCTGGAGATCGGTCGCGATTTCCGTCGAGGTGGAAAATGTCTGTGAGACATGGCGACTCCCCTGAAGCCAGAACCAAGACTTCCCCACACTGTCTTACCTGCCCAGTACCCTGGCCCAAAAAAATTTAAACTTTTTTAGTAGGGGTTTAATATACCAAAAAAGTTTAAAGTTTACCTATTGGGCTCCTAAGCTGTTTCTGGTAAACCCTAGGTTTCAGGCTTAGGGGCTTTGAATCCAGTCACTAACCTCTTAAGCACACCAAGCAGGTCAACCAACGGCGTGCGTGCAGCGCATACGAATTGTAGCCCCCCGGTAATTAGGGCTTTCGGTGGGGATCCCTACACCCTACTTAAAGGATCATGGGACTTAGTAAGTAGGGCTATAAATAAGGTACCTATACTTATATTTACTTATAACCCCAATTCAGGGACTTATAACTTTATTTATTAAGTCCCATGATCCTCCAAGTATGCCTTCATCTGTCTGTACGTTTCAGGCAGCTGTCGTAACTGGCTCAGCCCAGCATTGACTGGCCGCAGCAGGCTGTGTTCTTTGAGTGGGCAGGGTTTGCGGGTAAGGTTTGAGCTGTTTTTCGGGCCCGTTCCGAATGTACGATCCCACTCAAAACTGTAAACCCTCGCGAATGAGGAGTACCCAGTAGAGTCCGAGTCTTTAAACATATGCGACATATCGACATATCGACATACCGGTGTGTCCTGTTATAATGCACATCCATGTGTAAATGCAAACGTTTGTATACCCTTTTTATGTGCGAATGTCTGTCTGAATGGATGGACGGATAGACTGACGGACGGACGGACGGATGTGATTAGGCGCTCATGTGCATATGTTCGTATGCACACGTGCAAATTATATAAAAAGGGAAAGAGATGGCAAGGGCGATGCTTCGATGTTCCGACCCGGAAACAGAGCCCTAAATTCAAGAGGCCCCGAGTCCTGCTGCTTTTCCGACCTAAAACCCTCCGCCAGAAATCCGTTCTTGCATCTAGCGGGAGCCGACAGGAGAATTGCTTCGATTGGTATTTTTGCGGCTTAGGGTTTCGGGTTGTCTACGTATCTACTTTAGAGGGTCGGGCTTCAGGTGATAGCTTTTGGGATGGAACTTCCCAGAGACTCCAATACCCCTTAATTAAGGAATAATTATACCTTAAATCTTAGTAGGGATCCTGCTAAAATTTCAAATATATTCCTGAATTAAGGGGTAGCGAAGCTGTTCGGCAACAGCGACGACGACAAACACAACGGCGCAGAGTTGAGGGTTTGGGGCTTAGGATTTAGAGTTCAGGGCTTAGGGTTTAGAGTTCAGGGCTTAGGGTTTAGAGTTTAGGGTTTGGGGAAGAAGGAGAATCCATCGATGGCCAACCCACAATCAACAAACGCAGTAAAATCAAGCAACCGCTGAACCCTAAACCCTAAGCCGAGCAACAGAAGCAGCACTGTATCCAAAGAGAAGCAGAAGATAAGAAGAGTCACAACCACATAAACGAGGCCAGCAACACGTCTAAATGAGCATCAGTAAAGTTAAGCACTGGTAGTAGGAGGAGGCCAGCAACACGTCTAAATGAGCATCAGTAAGGTTAAGCACTGGTAGCAGGAGAAGTAATATCGGGGCATTGATAATTAGAATGGGGATTTGGGATATATTATACTCTAACCCAAACAATGAACTGCCCCCGAACTAGTAGCAGTAACTATTTTAGGGGCCTAAATTCGTAACCCTAAACCCTAAACCC